TGCCGCCAACCAACCCCCACGCCAGGGACGTCACCCTCTGCTGGAATGTACTAAATGTCATCAGAACTTCCGTAGTTGTCAACATCACCCCGATTGTCGCGGGCCCGAGCCTGCTAATCGTACATGCCAGTACTGTCGCCGGATTTTTAAGGGGGAGCGTGCCATAGCCGTACGCAAAAATCATGAACGTTACTCACATACAGATGAGGCACTGCGCGACGGAATCATTGTTATAAGGAGCCACGCAAACGTACTCGGGGAGGCTAGACAGGGTTATCAGGTTCGGCTAGGTCGGAACGCGAGGCTCAGTTTGCTGGTGCCTACACGTAGCCATGACAGCTCAACGCGTTCTCGCATTCACTCTGCTCCTCCTGATCTGGTCCTGCTCATGGCGCGAGGGAATGGGAATGGAGGGGGGGGTGAAGCCAGGAAAAGGAACCTGGATGAAATGGAACGGAGGCTCCAAGGAGTTGAGGATGCACACACAGGGTTGAAAACCCGACTGGACAACGTGGAACTCTGTTTGGAACTTGAGACAAGTTATAAGTTCCTTCGGGTGGAGAGCAGCAGTGGGTTACATGCTCTGTTCCAGGAGGTGGAGGCGGGCACATGCCCAAAGAGCGAAATCAGGGCCCAGGCAGGTCAGGCACTGGCAAGGGAGGTTCGAGAGGTATTGGAACGGGAAACAGACGAAGGCCAACTCAAGGCCAAAAGCGATGAACTGTCCAACAGCCGTCGCAGGTGGCCGACCGCAGCAGAAAGAACAGCCACACTGGATTCATGGCAACTCGAACGGGTGGTTGAATGGGTTTCCAAGCAAGGGCAAGGGTACAGTGTTCGGTTGCGTCAAGGTGAGCCCAGCAGATTGTGCCACGAGCAGGTCCAGAAGTGCCTCAACTGGAGTCTTTTTGTGTACTCCAAATTGGCTCCGCAAGGAGCCAGTCACCTCCAGGTCTATCCTGACCGCGGTCCAAAACAACGCAGCAAAGGGAAGGGAGGCAAGGGCAACGGCCGGGCCGCAGGGCGAGGCAACAAGGGAGGTAAGGGGAACAAGGGGCGGGGAGGTGCTGCGCCACCGCCTTGAGATGATGGAGGCTGGGACAACATACCGGCGGTCGGACAACTCACACAAGTATGTGCGGATACACCATCCTGGTTCCCTCCTTTTCGTCCTCGATTTTGGATCTGCCCGATTCCCCTTCTCTACTTCAATCTGCGGTCTAGTTCCGCCTATATTGTCCTTTTTCTCGGTCTTCTTTGATCAAGGTGAGGAACACCCCATGTGGGTCCCTCCAGGTTGACAGCGGTCTTAGCGGGACCCTGTCCAGGTTGATCATTGATTCCGAGTGCCTGGGTACCAACTTGCTCCTTGAACTGTTTTCTGCCTTCTCTCCACAGGATCACTGTTTCAGATACGCGACCCCCGTCTCCCCCCGCTCCCCCCCCTCTTCGTACACAGAAGCATATTACATACCAAAAAATGATACTCTCAACTACTTAGGGTCTAGAATGGGTGTGCCTTAGGGTATGAGGAGGCTAAGGTCTGACATGGTGGGACCGATCAAAGTAGACCTTTTTCCTAGTTCATTCTAGACCCCTTATATATACGGGACAAGGAAACTATAGACATTTTATACTCCGGCATTTACACTATAGGTTTATCACTTTAGACCTCGCGCCTGTTTTTTGATATTTTTTGAGCTTTTATTGAGCCTGATCCATCAAGAGCTTGATGAGTCAGTAAACATCTATATAGCATTTCAAAATAAACACATCTCCGGCAAAGGTCAGCGCATGGCATGTCAGACCCACAAAAGCATATTCTACAGTAGGACCTGAGTCAACAGCAATCCCTATGTTGGGACACCTGGAGAGGGTCTACGAAGGAGTCGCCAAAGCACAAGCGTGTGATCTGCTGCCTCAAAAGTCACTCCAGACCAAGTAAGACC